TAACTGGTAGACGTTGTACAGTAGTATATATAGCGGGGTATATATGAATTAGTAAATACATTAAGGTTCTGAGTTAGGTCAGAACCTAAGGTGCTTCTTGATAGAGATACCCGAGGATTTCTATCTCACATGTGAGATAGTGCAGGCGGTTGCATCTGGGCACTATATAGAGTAGCCAGGTGAGGTCATAATGACTACTTAGATAAGTTAAAAGTATATGTAAATATATGTAATGTTCACTTAAATAAGTAATAAAGTTAATGACAAAATTGTCAAAGTTGGAAAAAAAAAAGTTAAACAAAAAAAAATTAAAAAATTAAAAGATCTAAACAAAGATCTAATCTTGTAATATAGTAATAACAAGTAAATAAAGATTCTGCAAATTATATAATCAAAATAACTTTTAAAATAAAATTTTTCAAAATATTTAAAATTTGCTTATATAATATTTCAAAATTATTATATTTTTTTTTTTAATTTGGCAATCCTGCCTTTATTGTATTAGGAGTACGTAATCAAAATATATAGTTTCCGAACAAAAAGCCTGCAATTAACTCAATGTTTTCCACCCTCTTACTCTTCAATAAAAACTCACTCGGCTACTTGTAATAGTGCCCAAGTGCGATCTGCTGCAGCAATAATTCACTCCTCTCCAGTATCTAACTTACTAGATAACTTCTCGAAAAAATCACTAAAAGCTTATTGCTAGCTTTGTCAAGATTGCCTTTTTCTTAACATTTTTCCTTCTTCAAAGGAGTATACAACAAATAGGATAAAAAAAACAAAAAACAAATAAAACAAAAACAACAAAAACAAAGAAGAAAAAGAAAAAACAAAGAAGAATATAAAGAAAGAAAACAAATACAAAAGGGAATATAAAAGAAAAAATTACAAAGAAAGAAAACAAAAAAACAGCAGAAAATTCTGTCTTTTTAGCACTACTATTATCTGTGCTAGGCTGAAAAAAATTATATAACAAATATGATATTTGTATATCTCTAGTATAAAGCTTCACCTTATTAAATAAATTTTCTGACTAGATCATCCGAACTCCTAAACGACATAAGCAGCCAACTTTAGTATTATGTGAAGCAGCATGGTTTATAAACAAAACAAACCAAATACGTGATTGCAGTCTGTTAGAGATGTAAACAATGCTGATTTTTTGGAGAAGATAAGCCATTTTGTCCACTTTTGTAAGAAATTTTGGAAGAGCGGCGAGGAGGCAGAGAAAAAAGACGAAACCACTTTGTTTTGTTTAATAAAGAAGTGTGTATTTTCTTTACTCAATACACAGAATCCATAGAAAGGCACAAGTACTTTCTTTATTTTTTCAGGTAAGTGATAAACTCTGGGCTTGTTGGCAAATAGCATATGAAACTATTTCTAAATAACAAATGTCTAACCCCTGTGGTGAGTGATAAACTCTGAAGAAGTTAGCAGATAGCATATAAAAACTATCTCTAAATAACAACTGCCAAGTTATAGAGCTTAAAGACTACTTCCTAGACTGTTTCTATTTTTACAGATATTTGTATTTTTTAAAAATTTTGGATTTTTGTAGAAAAAGTAATCATTCTTAATAAAAGATTTAAAAAAAATTATTATATAATTTTCCTTATTTTATTATTAATACATATATATTTACCTTCTTTTTTTTTTTCAGAATTACAATTAGAATTAGTAGTCGCTTTTACAAATTAAAGTTTTTTTTTTATTCCTTGATGAGTACTATTACTTTTGTTCTTACTTCTTACTTCTCAATTTGTAAATACATTTAACTACCACTTCTAGGTTATGCTTTAGGCAATAATTTGGGTATACTTTGGCTAGTAGTTATTGCTTGTCTTCTCTCTTTTTTACTGATCTTGTAGTGGTCTTTGTTTCTTTATTTGTGAACATATTTAACTACTATTACTCTTCTTTCTTCCAGATAACGCTTTAGGCAATGAATAGTTTGGGCTTACTAGAATTGGTGATTATTGCTTGTCTTCTGAATCATTATTTTTTTTTTTTTGGCTTGTAGTAGTCTTATTTCTCTATTTATGAATATATTTGATTATTTAACTCTTTTTCTTTTTTTTTAGTTAATAGCTAGCTCTATTAAGATTGGTGGTAATTGTTTGACATTTTTCTTCTGAATTATAGATTTTCTTCCAATCTTGTGATGGTTCTTGTTTCTCTATTTGTGAACATGTTTGACTACTACTATTCTTCTTCCTTCTAGATAACACTTTGGGCAACAAATGGTTTGTGTCTACTAGGATTAATAGTTATTGCTTGTCTTCTGAATCATTGCTTTCTTTTTTTTTAGTCTTGTGTTCTTTCTGATCTTGTAGTGGTTTTTGTTTCTTTATTTGTGAATGTGTTTGACTACCACTATTCTTTTTCCTTCCAGGTAATGCTTTGGGCAACAAACAGTTTATGCCTATTAGAATTGGTAGTTATTGCTTGTCTTCTGAATCATTGCTTTCTTTTCTTCTAGTCTTGTGTTCTTTCTTTCAATCTTGTAGTGGTTTTTGTTTTTTCATTTGTAAATATGTTTGACTACCACTATTTTTCTTCTTTCTAGGTAATGCTTTAGGCAATAAATAGTTTGGACTTACTAAAATTAGTGGTTATTGCTTGTCTTCTAAATCATTGTTTTCTTTTTTTTTGATCTTGTATTCTTTCTTCTAATTTTGTAGTAGTTCTTGTTTCTTTATTTGTAAATGTATTTGACTACCACCATTTTTTTTCCTTCCAAGTAATGCTTTGGACAACAAATGGTTTGGGCTTATTAGACTTGGTGATTATTGCTTGTCTTCTAAATCGTTGTTTTCTTTTTTTCTAGCTTGTAGTAGTCTTATTCTCTATTTGTGAACATATTTAACCACTACAACTCTTCTTCTTTCTTTTCAATTAATAACTAGCTCTACTAAAATTGGTGGTAATTGTTTGGTATTTTTCTTTCTTCTGAATTATGAGTTTTTTTTTTTCTGATCTTGTAGTGGTTCTTGTTTTTTTTATTTGTGAACATGTTTAACTATTATTATTCTTTTTCTTTTTAGATAATGTTTTGGATAATAAATAGTTTGTATCTACTAGAATTGATAGTTATTGCTTGTCTTCTGAATCATTGCTTTTTTTTTTTTTGATCTTGTGGTAGTTTTATTTTTCTATTTGTAAACATGTTTGGCTACCACTAGAGTTTGAAACTAGATTTGGTATTTGGATTTAAATTTGATTTTCTCCGGATTCAGATTAAATCTGAATATAAAATCGAATCTACCAAATCTAACGATATGTAACCCAATCCGGTTAAGTTCCCAGATTGTGTATTACATAATGTCTATTTCTGGAAGGCAATATTTTTTATTGTAAATTTTCTTGCAGAGAACTAAAATTCGTACAGGAAGCAATATATTGCAACCCATTGTTGATCTATACATCCTCGTAATTTAGTTCTTATAGAGAACTAAAGTTTATATAGAAAGCAATAAAATTTTAACTTTTAACTTTACCCTCACAATGGCCTATTATATTTGTTCTCTGAAAATACTAAAGTTCGTATAGAAAGTAATGAAATTTGACTTTATGCTCTTATGATAGTTTATATTTATTCTTTGCGGGAGCTAAAGCTTATGTGTGAAGCAATAAATTATATTTACATTCTTGGGCTTTATACTTTTGTTATACTGTAGCATTACTATAGTTTTTTGTAGAAACTAAAGACTATACTAATCTATTTTCAGGAAGTGATCTTTACACCTTCACAATAATTCTTGTAGATAACTAAAGATTTGTATAACAATATTATTAGATAATTAATAAAGTATAAATACTGTAAATGTAGTGAACGAGAGTTTGAATAAAAAAAATAGCATCTTTATTTGTTCCTTCTTCTGATCTTGACTTTAATAAGCCAACTTCTTTCTCTGAAGCTAAAATATCTGCTTCTACAAATTCAATCCCCTTAAAAAGTCGTAAGAAACATAAAAATAATTTAAATAAAAGTGGCAAGAATGTTAAAATTAATAAAAATCACACATCTTATTTTTTTTGCAAAAACCCCAAAAATTGTGATCAAGCATATTGTAAAATATGTAAACAAAAGCTTGCTGGCACCAAAAAAAAACCTTATCCCTATAGCTGTAAAGGAGGAACAACCTCAAATATTGCTAATTATTATCAAAACTATTTGGATATAAATAAAAAAGTAAAAAAATATATGCATATATAAAATAATCATATATTTTAACAGTTTATTTATATTAAATTAGCCAAAAGAAAATCAGATGTTTGTGTCTCAATGTAGCAAGACTCAGCAAAAAGAACTTTTGCGACTTTTAATTAAATTTATAGTCAAGTTCATGGGGCCATTATATATTTTTCAAGATAAAGATTTTCGTGAATTTGTACATGGTTGTAAGCCAGAGTTTCGTATACTGTATAATAAAACTGCTCAAAAATTTATTCACGAAACATATTTATAGAGTACAGATCAATTAAATAATTTAATTAATAATATAGCTATCTTAGTTCATTTGACAACAGACCTTTGGATAGCTAAAAGTAATTACAGATATATTGGAGTAATAGCCACCTGGCTTGCTCCAATTTTACATTTTGTAAAATTTTACTAACTTGTAATGTTTTTAACTATCCGCATACTGGTGAAATTATTAACAAGTAGTGTTATTCAACAGTAGCATATTACTAGTAAAGTTTTTACTATTGCTACAGACAATAGGGCAAATATGGTGAAAGCTATCTGTCTTCTTAATGACTCTTTGCCTTTTATTGAAAGACAACCTTGTGCTAGGGTTCCTAGGTTCAGTTCAGTTCAGGTTCAGATTCAATGAACCTAAACCTGAACTTCAAATTTTGCAGATCATTGAACCTAAACCTAAACTGAACTTTGAATTTATGAACCTGAACTGAACCTGAACTTAAAGTTTTGGTTCAGTCAGGTTCATAAACATATTCATGAACATGTTTAGGTTCAGTAATGAAACATAGTAAACAGTAAAAATATGTTTACTAAATTTTTTTTTTGTTTTTAAAATTTCTGAATTTGGAGTTTTTCA